TTTGGCGACCAACTTTGGTCGCTAATCTTTGGTCGCTTTTTACAGGAATTCTAGTAGTGAACCAAAAGTAAAACATCTTAATCAACTTTATCATGTCGATTTCGTGCATAGTGTAACAACAAATTAGGCAAAAAGTTTGACATAAAAATATATGGTATTGCTCCAATCACTAAGCTTTCGTCGTGGAATTATGAATGGTGCAACTTTAGACACTAAGTTACATAAGGTTGGAATTTAAAGAGAAACAAAACCATGTGTTAAAAGAAATAGGACGAAAATTGAATTATCTAAAAGCTTCATTGGCTTTAAATTGTGGAAGCTGAATCATTTCTTGTTGCCTCAAAATTTAGTACTAATTTCCTTTTCACTTGTTTTGCTTCTTTTATCCTTTCCGCCCTCCCTCTTTTTACCTTTTTGAAACACCAAGTTTTCTATTTTAAAAAGAAATATATATCCTATCTGTTTCTTTAAGTTTGGACAAACGAAAGGAGAAATTCGTTGGAACAAGGCAGAAAAATTGCACAGTCAAAGCACGTTTTTGGAGCTTCTGGTGAAAAGATCGTGTAGAGTGAAAACATCGCAACCATAGAAAAGAATTTTTACCGTTTGGCTAAGTGTCACCAGCATGATGTTATTCCTACCGCATTGGAGCGGGTTGGATGAGATGGAGGCTAGCTTCGGAGGTTTTATGCGATAAGAATATGCCGCCAAGACTTAAGGATAAATTCTATAGGATGGTGGTTAGACCGGCTATGTTGTATGGAGCTGAGTGTTGGCCCGTCAAGAAGTCCCATGTCCAGAAGATGAGCGTGGCTGAAATGAGGATGTTGAGATGATGTATAGACATACTAGGAAAGACAAGATCAGGAATGAAGTTATTAGGGACAAGGTGGGAGTGGCATCAGTGGAAGCCAAGTTGCGGGAATCGAGACTGCGATGGTTTGGGCATGTGAGAAGGAGAGACATAGATGCCCCGGTTAGGAGGTGTGAGAGGTTGACCATGGCGGGCTTGAGGAAGGGCAGGGGCAGGCCAAAGAAGTATTGGGGAGAGGTGATTAGACAGGACATGTTGGCGCTTCACCTAATCGAGGACATGACCAACGATAGGAAGGTGTGAAGGTCGAGAATTAAAGTGGTGGGTTGACAGGTAGTTGTACTAGTATTATTCTTGTTGTTGGTTGAGTGTTACTTCCTTTTAGTTTGTTATTATATCTGATACTTAGCAAAGAAGTCCAGTCCAGTGTTTTTGTAAATTGCTACTGGAAATTGTTGCTTCCTGATTATTATTACTTGATGCTACTCTTTCTCCCTTTTATTGGTAATTGTTACTACTTGATTGTTACTATCTGATGTTACTTTTTCTCCTTTTTTTCTTATCCTCTTTTGTCTCCCTCATCTGTCGTTGTTGTTGTTGTTGTATATAATGAATGCAAGTATTTCCTCCGTTTCCCTTTTGCTTGTCTATTTGCATTTTGCACTTTCCTTAAGAAAGTATTAATAAGTGTTTATTTTATTAAATTATACTTATTTAATGGTAATTCATAAATCTAAATTCGACGAATAGTATTGCAATCAATTTGAGATAATTACTTAATGGTAAGGGTAAAACTGAAAAATAAGTTATTATATGTTGATCATTGCGAAAATGGACAAGTAAAAGAGAATAGAGGGAGTAACAAGTTATTAGAGGATATTAATTTAAAGGTATAATACTATGATTGTATAGGTTGAAATTTGAACGACCACGACCACTGCCGAGTGCGGCAAGGAACGAGGTCCTTACGATATAGCGTCTTTTGGTCGTTATAAAGGGTAACGACCAATGATGGTTAAGCGAACACACGACGTCTGCAGTAGTATTAGCGTAGTAGGAGACAGTAGGATTATGCTTTTCGAATATTTTTTGTGTTGTACCTTTTTAGGGTTTGAAAGGGGATTGTCCCTTATAAATAGGAGAAAAACGCTCTGTAAAGGGGAGGAGAAAGTGAATACAAAAAAAGACAACTTTGCTTACTGAATACAGATCCGAAATCCTTACATCATATTATTTTGGTCAATCGCATTCATTACAACATTTTTCTGCATTTGGAGTTATCATATTTATGAGCAATCATTTGGTTCCGACATACAAGGAAGCATCGTTCATCTTGTTCTTCACTTACGTCATTCAATCTAGATTTTATTATACTTGGCTGAGATTTACCTCTTCATCTTCATTAATTGATTTAATCAAAAAGGTTTCAATATCTTTTGGTCAAACAATTTGACGCCGTCTGTGGGGATTTCTTCAGCCAAGATCTTAGTTTCATCTAGATCATAAAAAGGGATAGTCACCTCTTCCTAGCTTTGCACAAACTAACGATGGCAGGGAAAGAAGATGCAAGGCAAAAAGCAATAGTAGGTGTCACAACAAACCTACTGAACACCATCAATGAAGACAGCAGGGAAAATAACGAAAACGGGACCCCAATAACCACACCCAGGGGAGACGCTTCACCTCCCCCGCACGAAAGCGTAATTGCTTCATGCGAGAAGGAAGCCTCCACATCTACCGCCGGCAGTGAGAAGACTGCTGGTAGAATGGGTAACAAGTACTCTGAACAACATACTTGATAAACCCGCCCAAAGGGATAACAGAAATATCACACACGTAGATGTCACGACGATCGCGGATGAGCAAGTATCCCCTGTACAGGTAACACTCATATTGCTGATGATGCAGGTAATGACACGCTCGCAGCCATTTTAAAGAAAATGGAAGAGATGTAAAATGAGAACAGGGCACTCCGTGACCAGATGAAGGAGCACCAACAAAGGGTTGACAAAATATCAGGCGCCCCAAAGTTTTTGCCAAAACGGGACGTTGGTCGATTTATCGAGCAACCATACAATGAAGAAGCGCCCTCCTACACCATTCCAAAGATCTTCAAAATGCCACCTTACCTAAATATATACGACGATACCACCGATCCAGACGATCATATCATCCACTACGTTGCAGCCGTAAAAGGTAACGATCTTTCGAAAGAACAGGTACCATCGGTGCTACTAAAAAAGTTCGGCGAAACCATACAGGGGGAGCCCTGACCTGGTAGTCCCAACTATCGGCACGATCGATAACAACGTTTGAAGAAATGGCAGACAAGTTTGTCACCGCCCATGAAGGAGCCAAAAAGGCAGAAGCCAGAGTAAACGACATATTTGTCATTAGGCAGATGCACGACGAGGGATTCAGGGACTTCTTAGCTCGGTTCAATAGGGTAAGAATAAGCTTGCCAAATGTGTTAGAGGGAATGGCAGTAGCAGCCTTCCAGAACGGACTAAACAGGAACGGGTCGAGAGCGACCAGAAAATTATTAAGCAGGATCATGAAATACCCTCCAACCACTTGGGAAGAAATCCATAACGCATACTGCGCCAAAGTAAGAGCCGATAAGGACGACCTCAACTGTTCGATCCAACGGTTGACGTTAATTCAAACCGAAGCAAGGAGAGATCGTCGCAACGACGATCGAAGAGATCAGTCGGGATCCCGTCTCGGCCGATAAAGGCATCAGCCCTATATCAGGACATCTATCCCACCTCCTCCACGGCACACAGATGATCCTTCTGAACATGTAGCGCTACGTCGACACGAAAAAGGTATGCCTCCACTCCTATCTACTCATAATTTTTGTGTCTCTCCTTCAAAAATATTGTAGGCACTGGAGAAACTCGGTACAAAGGTACAATGGCTGCAAAAGATGAAGTCTGACCCAAGCACTTGGAAATTGAACGCTCTTTGTGAATTCTACCAGGAAAGGGGTCACAAAACCGAAGATTGAATAGGATTACGGCAGGTGGTAGTGAGAATGCTGAATCAGGGACACCTGAAAGAATTGCTGAGCCATAGAGGACGGGCTAACTTTGCTCGCAGACGTGAACAACCCCAGGGACCTCCAACACCGCCTTCTCCCGCTCGCGCTATACAGATGATCATCGGCGGAGGCGACGACACAACAATCAATCATGTAAAGTTCACCACCACACATAAACTCAAACGATCGATCACTCATGAACAGTATGATGACCTCGAAGATAGTATCGTCTTTGATAAGTCGGATACTGACGGTTTGTCTTTCCCTCACTACAATGCTCTTGTTATCACTTTACGTATTGCAGACACTGATGTAAAAAGAATAATGGTAGATGGCGGGAGCGACGCGTGTTTTATCCATCCTCGAGTCCTCGTAGAGATGAGACTCGAAGATAAAATAATACCGCGTTGTATAACACTAACAGGTTTTAATAATGCAGTCGAGCGAACTTCTGGAGAGATAGCGCTACCCATCCTAGCCGGAGGAGTCACCCTGGAAACAACGTTTCACGTCATGGACCAAGACACAACCTACAAGGCCATCATAGGGCGCCCATGGATACACGCCATGCGAGCAGTCCCGTCCAGTCTCTATCAAGCAATCAAGTTTCCTACTCCATGGGGAGTATTCAGCATCCGGGGCGAATAACGCACCGCACAGGAATGCTATCGCGTCGCCCAAGATTGCACCCACACCCAACAACTAAAAAGGGCAAGTGCGGAAGCCTAGGAATCAGCGATGTCGGGAATCAAGCTTCACGAACAAACATATGTTATCAAAGGTCCCGACATCGTGGAAGCATCTGAGTCGACAATAGAGGATCTCGATCCCATCCTACTAGACGGCAATGACAAAACGAAAAAGTCTTATATCGGGCACAACCTCTCGGAACCAGGTAAGTTTCATAAATTCTTAACTGACAATGTCGATTTGTTTGCCTTCTCCCATGCAGATATGCCAAGTATCCCGAAAGACATCACCACGCACAAACTGAATGTTGACCCCCTCTACCCGCTAGTGCGGCAAATAAGAAGGAAGTTCAACGCTACAATCAACGAAGCCGTCAGCGAATAAGTCTTTAAGTTGCTCGCAAACGGCTCCATCCGAGAGTCAAGATATCCCCAGTGGGTCGCCAATGTGGTCATGGTAAAGAAGAAAAATGAAAAGTGGCGGATGTGTGTAGATTTCAAAGATCTAAACAAGGCCTGCCCAAAAGACTCCTTTCCATTGCCACACATCGACCAGCTCATCGATGCAACAGCAGGACACGAGTTGCTAATCTTCTTAGATGCCTACTCGGGTTACAACCAGATCCTCATGGAGGTAGAAGACCAGGACAAAACTACTTTCATCACTCACCAAGGAACGTACTGCTATAAGGTCATGCCGTTCGGACTAAAGAATGTAAGAGCGACGTATCAGAGATTGGTCACCAAGATGTTCAAAGACCAACTCGGTAAAACAATGAAAGTCTACATCGACGACATGCTGGTTAAGTCTAAGAGGAAAAAAGATCATATCGATCATCTGAAGGAAGCCTTCAACATATTAAGGCAGTACGACACGAAACTAAACCCCAAAAAATGCACTTTCGGCGTAACCTCGGGCAAGTTCCTCGGTTTCCTGGTATCGCAAAGAGGCATCGAGGTCAACCCAAATCAGATTAAGGCCATCAAAGGAATACCAGAATGTTAACCAGCAAAAAACAGGTACAAAAACTGACAGGTCGGATAGCCGCCCTGTCAAGATTCATCTCACGATCGTCAGATAAGTGTCATAAGTTTTTCAGTGTGCTGAAGAAAGATAACGAGCTCCGGTGGAATTCGGAGTGTGTCGATGCCTTGAGAAAACTAAAAAGCTAATTGTCCTCACCACCGTTACTCGCCAAGGCAGAACCAGGCGAATGCCTCCTTGTCTATCTAGCCGTCTCCGAAGTCGCGGTAAGCGCGATTTTGGTCCGTGAGAGCAAAGGTACGCAATCTCTGATTTACTATATCAGCAAAACTTTAGTTGACACCGAAACGAGGTATCCCCACCTTGAAAAATTAGCTCTGGCACTGGTCGTAGCTTCACGAAAGCTTAGACCATATTTTCAGTGTCACCCTATAAAAGTGGTGACAAATTTTCCCCTCAGGAGTATCCTGCATAGACCCGAGTTGTCGGGTAGATTGGCCAAATGGGCCATAGAATTTAGCGAATACGATATAACATATCAATTGCAAACTGCGATTAAACCACAAGTACTTGCCGACTTCGTCGCTGACTTCAGTGTGGAAATACTATCGGAGGTCGAATAAGAAGCGCTTCGCGCTTCTCCCGGGCAACCCGACCTTTGGGTCCTCTACACCGACGGCGCATCCAATGCGTCGGTATCTGGATCGGGACTCGTACTCAAAGTCCCAACGGGCGAAGTGATTCGCCAATCCATATGGTGCCCTGAAATGACTAACAATGAGTCCGTAATTACAGGACTGAAATTGGCCCTCAAATATGGTGCACGACGAGTCGTCCTCCACTGTGACTCCCAACTTATCGTAAACCAAGTTACTGGGACTTTCCAGATCAAGGAGCAGAGGCTACGGAAATACCAGACTGAAATCCACAAGCTGCTACCAGAATTCGATGAATGCTGACTCGACCAAATACCACGAGCGCAAAATATCGAAGTAGACGGTCTCGCCAAGCTGGCAGCAGCAACTAAAAACATCACCAAGGAGAACGTGGTCACCCTCCTCCACTCATCAATAGACCAAGTCGAGGTACATTCTATAAATTTAACTTGGGACTGACGCAACCACATTGTATCATATTTGCTGGAGGGAACACTCTCACAAGATAGAAAAGAAGCGAAGAAGCTTCGAATACAAGCAGCCAGTTACAACCTCATAAACCACGACCTTTACAAAAGGACGTTCGGCGGTCCCTTGGCCAAATGCCTCGGACCAAATCAAACAAGGCGTGTGCTCAAAGAGGTACACGAGGGCCACTGCGGCGCCCATACAGGTAACCGGGCCCTCGTCAGATATCTTATTCGTGCAGGATACTACTGGCCGACTATGAAAAAAGAGGCCGCAGACTACGCAAAAAATGTGAGCAATGCCAAAAATACGCCCCTATGATACACCAGGCGGGCGAACTCCACACTCCGTCACTTCTCCATGGCCGTTCATATAATGGGGGATGGATATTGTCGGACCCTTCCCAACAGAGCGAGGTAAGATATGCTTCCTTTTGGTTTTAACTAATTACTTTTCCAAATGGGTGGAAGCAGGTGCGTTCGCTCAAATACGCGAATAGGAAGTCATCACGTTCATCTGGAAAAACATCATACGCCTATTCGGCATCCCCAAAGAAATCAATTGCAACAATGGACCTCAGTTCACCAAGAAAAAGACGACTGAATTCTTCGAAAATGGCATATCAAGCGGATACTCTCCACACCATATCACCCTGCCGGAAACGGTCAAGCAGAATCCTCCAACAAGAAAATATTAAATATATTAAAGAAAAAGCTCGACGACGCCAAAGGGCTATGGCCGGAACTGCTACCAGAAGTGTTATGGGCCTATCGCACAACGCTAAGCCAGCACGGGTGAGACACCGTATTCACTGGTTTACGGTACCAACGCAGTCATACCCGTCGAGGTCGGTGAACCCAGCCTGAGGTACTCCAATGAGAGTGGACCAAGCAATGACGAAAATAGATTACAAGACCTGGACGAGTTTGAAGAACAAAGGGACATGGCTCACATAAGAATGATAGCCCAAAAACAACAAGCAGAAAGGTATTACAACAAGAAGGCCAAAGTACGACCACCCAAAGTCGGAGACTACGTCCTCAAAGCCAAAACACATGCCACAAAAGACCCGAACGAAGGAAAATTGGGAACAAATTGGGACGGGCCATATAAAATCACAGCAGCAGCAAGAAAAGGAGCATTTCAGTTGGAAACAATGGAAGGCATACTACTACAAAAGAAATGGAACGTCTCCACCTCAAATATTTCCACTTCTAAGAAATGACGCCACCTAGGTCGCACTCTTTTTCCCTCACCCGGGTTTTGACCCAATCGGGTTTTCTCGGGGAGGTTTTTAACGAGGCGACGAGGGAGACGTCTTGATGTTCAAAGTATAATTCATCGCCCAACCTACCGATATCATCTCCAGGCCGAGCAATGAAGGGACTAGATACAAGGATATTACTCGGTAGAATGTACGAAATCGATATGTATCTCCAACACATGAATGAAATTACTAAAATGAATGTATGAAATCGACAAGTATCTCCAATGTATGAATGAAACAGGCACACAAGACACCCCATGGCTAAGGCCATCGCCACGAAAAGAGTTCGACACCACTCGAACCACGACGTGTTAATATTTAAGTCGAAATAACACCCCATGGCTAAGGCCATTGCCACGAAAATAGTTCGACACCACTCGAACCACGACGGGTTAACATTCTGACACTAAGTCGAAATAACACCCCATGGCTAAGGCCATCGCCACAAAAAGAGTTCGACACCACTCGAACCACAACGGGTTAATATTCTGACACTAAGTCAAACTAACACCCCATGGCTAAGGCCATCGCCACGAAAAGAGTTCGACACCACTCAAACCACGACAGGTTAAAATTTTGACACTAAGTCGAAATAGCACCCCATGGCTAAGGCCATTTCCACGAAGGAGTTTGACTTCACCCGAACCACGACGGGTTAACATTTCGACACTAAGTCGAAATAACACCCCATGACTAAGGCCATTGCCACGAAAGAGTTCGACTTCACTCGAACCACGACGGGATACTACTTCGGCACCAGCTCGAAAGTAACATCCCAATGGCTAAGGCCATCGTAAAAAAAAGGAGTTCGACATTGATAAACTACGACGGGATACTACTTCGGTATCAGCTTGAAAGTAACATCCCTACGACCAAGTCTGTTGCTAATGAAAAAAGTTCAAATTAAACTCACAACACAACGGGGTTAACATTTCAACAGAAATTCGGAATAAACCAAAAAAAAAAAGGGAAACAACTCAGAGGTACACGACCAAAATAATTTTCATTACAGCAAATATATTACAAAGTGCTTGTTTTTTACAATGGGCTCAAAGATGCCCTCACAAAAATGGTGAAGCAAAAGTAAATACAACCGAATACTATGCCACATCATTCCCTGTGGCATACACCTCCTCGTACCAAGAATCGGAGGCAAGTTTGTCTGCATCATCAGAATTAATATTGTCCCCGCCAGGCGTGATGGGGTCATACCTGCATGCCTCACGATCTGCACGGGCGTTGGCATGCACATCCCGAAGCTCTGTCTCGGACGCCCTCCCATCAGCATAAAGAGCCTTATACACATTGAACTGGGCTTCAGCGTGAACCCACAACTCATACAAATGGTGAGGCACGATAGGATCAGCCAAAGCATGGGATGTAGAGGACTGCGACTGACGTCGCACGTCCTCCATTTTCAAAGAGGCCACCTGTTCATTTAACGCGGACAATTCCACCTCCAAATCTTGAATACGCCCCTCAAGTCCCGCTACCTTAAGCGCAGACGCCTCCACCTCCTTGTCCCGCTCTGATTTACAAACACGGAGGGCATCTTCTAAAGCCGCTGCCTCAGAGACGGCAGTTGCCCTATCCCTTTCGGTGTGTGCCAATCTAGCGGCATTTGCGCTCAATTCACTCTTAAGGTCAACGACCTCCGCTGCCTTCGTGTCCAGTTCGGCAGTTAAATGGGACACCTTTGCTTGGAGGTCAGCATTTTCGCCCATCACTCCTTTGTTTAGCTCAAGCTCATCCTCCCTGACCTTAAGGGCCGCCTCAAGCTCACTACAACGGGCAATGGCCTTCATAAGGTGCTCGTCTCGCTCTTTCATTTCTTCGACCTTACGCGCCAATTGATCCTCCCTCTACTTAAGCCCATCGCGGAACAGCTGAAAGTCGCGATCTTAAGTGAAAATATTGGCCATCGCACGATTCTTGGTGAGATATTCTTGATACTTAGAGGACATTTTCCCATAGATGGTCGTCCTCCTCCTTCCCCGACGCTCGCGCTCGATCTCTATGATGAAGGTCTAATATGAAAAACAAAGTTAGAACAAAAGGATGGGCCAAGAATAGTAAAACAGATCCAACGACGAAAAGAAAAGAGAGGCATTTACCCGTAGAGCCATGCCGGAAACGCTCCGTGACAACTCTGCATCACACATCGCTCTAAGTGCCTTGCTCTCAGGAGCAACACATAAAGGGGCAAAAACGGACGCCGCCTGATCACAGTTCGACAACAAGTCGTAGTCCCTGGGGACGACTATGTGTCGATCAGAACCCTCCGTTCTAACCTCTACGCAAGTGTGACGCTCCAAAAATTCTCGAACATCCCCTAGGTCGACATTCGAACCCGAGCCGTCGCCCTTAGCGCGTAAGCCCCCTCCGACAGTAGACGATGCGCCACCCTCAGCGGAACGCATAGACCCCCCTCCTTGGCATACCCCTTTTGTTCGGGGAGACCTCCCCGCCAAGATAGCGTCCGCTACAAACGCGGGCACAAGTGCCGTCTCCGACGCACCCGTCCTGCTTTTGCCAGTATCAACAGCCATCTTTTTCTCGAGCTCTACCCTCATCTTTTTTCTCAACGGAGGTTCGTCCCCATAAGAGGACTCATCTCCGAGGTGATAGACCGGTAAATAGGAGGTCTCTTCCCTCACAATCATATCACGAGAGGAGTCTTCCTCCTGCACCGGCTGAGCACGACACTCTCGGACGGATTCCTCCAAAATAAATTGCATTCCCGCTGAGGCGATGGCCTGGCGAAATGCAGGGACTGGGGCCCTTCGCCTAGAAGCTCCACGACCTATCATCACAAGGAGTCGTATTAATAGATAATGGCAAATGGCCGAAGAGCGCTACAAAGTAAAACACTTACCGGATGAGACCTTCGGCCTAAAATGTTTCACAAAAGCAGGCCAGTCTCGGGTCTCCACTGCGTGAAGCAGCAAACGGGCTACCCAGTCCCTTATACTGGCAATGGGACGGGGTGCACGCCCCATAGCTGCAAAAGAAAGCCGCAGATAAATACTAAGTTGAACACAACAAAGAAAAAAGAGAGAGTAAACAAGTTGCTACACCTACGATTATCATTCCACCACTCTGGGAATCCAGCGAGGTCCGACACAATGTGTTCAGTTCTGACGAAGAAATACTTGTGCCAAAACTTATGGCTCGCCCGGTTGTCAGTTCCGACCACCAGCCGTTTGGTCCTACGGTGCCTCAAATGTACCATAGTACCCCTGTGAAAACTAGGGGAAAACAAGTGCAAGAGGTGGTGGATGTCAATTTCTCACCCCGCCAACTCCGTGTATTTTGTCAACACCAAAAATATTTTATACGTGTTCGGAGAAAGCTGCGCCGGGCAAACCTGATAAAATCGACAAAATTCTTTTGCTAACGGGAGAAGGGGGAAGGAATGACCAATTACAAAGGGGTATTCATAAAAAGCACAATACCCCGGTCTATGGATCTCCACGAAGTCCCTCCCCGCCGAAACCATCTCGACATGAGGAGGAATGCTATACTTAGTGCGGACGGCATCTATATGGGTCTGCTTGGTTTCAGACAC